CCCCAAAACCCCAAAACCCCAAAACCCCAAAACCCCAAAACCCCAGAGTTTATCGGTATAATTGAAAGTGAGCAATTAAGGAAATAGTATATAAGAGATTTATAGGTAAAATTTATAATAAAAAATATGAATAACAATTACAAGAGCAATATTAAGATTATTAACAATTCTTCCCAACCATGGGTAGAAATCAAACAAAAAATGAGATATCAGCACGCCAGAGCTGATAAATGTCCGATCTTGGAACCGAACCAAGAGGCAGAATTATTATTTATCCCCCAACTCGGAATGTGTGATGCACCTATGGGGGTTGGAGCCGACCAGTGGTTCCAGACAAAAGATGGATCGCAAAGTTTTTACCTTTCCTGGTATATCCCTCCTCTTAATTGCAAGCCAAAAATCAAGGTTGTGTATGAGCATAATATTAAGGTTGATGCCTCTTTCAACAACAAAAGCTTGACGATTAAAATTTATTCTGAAAATAACCAGAAAATTCCAGAGATTCATGAAGCGAAGGTTCACCGTAAAATGAGTGAAGAATTGAGCAACTTGATTCCCATGAAAATCGAAAGCTCTTCAGTTTCTAAAGCATCATTTGCTACAAGATTTGACCTCTTTTCTAACACAACTGATGCAGACTCTGAAGATCTTAGCCACTCAGGAGACTTATTGGCCAGTGCAAAAACAGATGAATCAATTCATCTACCAGTTGTACTTTCTAGGTCAAGGAATAAGTCAGATCTGGGTGAACTCCCTCAGAAGTTCCTCAAAAGATCTTTCTCCCAGAAGAAACAAGAGTATATTCCCTTGAACCTATTATCAGAACCTACATAAAGCCCACAATCTCTCACACCCAACCCACCGGTCAAACAGCTCATCACTGATTGACCAACTCAAATATTTCCTTTACTTAATTCTTTCCTTAATTATATTACCAATGACATTTCTATAATAGAAGTCAAAGAGGGGTTTTGGGGTTTTGGGGTTTTGGGGTTTTGGGG